CATGAAAAATGATATTTAAGGTAGCTGATTGCTAGTTGTGCTTCTCCTTGATCTCTACGGGAAAGTAGCAACATGGAAACCTCAAAAGAACTCCCTAATGACCTAAAAACTAGGATAATTCGTCAATATGAATTAGGAGACGGATACAAAAAGTTATCACAAAGTAACGTCGGTCCTGGAGAGCCACAGTCATGCAGAGTACAGCTCCAACCCTAATCAAACACATCTGAACAAGCTAAACAAGGTCTAAAGATTACTAGATTACTTAACCTTTTATTAAGGTTGGAGCAAAACTCTGCAGGACCGTGGCTCTGATGGAGGACTGATGTTGGCCACCCCAGGTTTAAAGTCTCTGTCTCCACAGTCAGAAATATAGTTAGAAAATGGAAGGCCAAAGAAACAGTCCTTGTGAAGGAAAGATGTGGTAGGCCAAGAAAGGCAAAGGCGAAGAATTGTTAGAATGGTCACAGACCACCTCCAAAGAGCTCCAAGAACATCTTGCTGCTGATAATGTCATTGTACATCGTTCCACAGTCCAGAGTACTTTGCACAAGGTACAGCTCAATGGAAGGGTGATGCGAAAAAAGACTTTTCTGCATACTGCCAACAAGCAGAGTCGTGTGAGTTATGCAAAGGCTCATCTGGACAAGCCTGAATTATTTTGGAAAAATATCCTGTGGAGAGATGAAACTAAGAGTTATTTGGTCACAACCAGAAGCGCTTTGCATGGCGGAAAAAGAACACAATGTTCCAGCAGAAGAACCTGATCCCTACTATAAAATTTGGTGGAGGATCCATCATGAACTGCCAAAATACAGACAGCACATTACATTTCTTACCAGAGACAGTAATATACTGGACCACTGCTACACTACAATAAAGAATGCCTATCACTCTGTCAAAAGGGCAGCTTTGAGGCTTTCTGAATACTGTTTGGTTCATCTTATACCGACCTACTGGCAGAAACTGAAATCAGCTAAAAAGATGGACTAATGAAACAGAGTGAGATTTACAAGCCTGCTTCGACTGCACTGATTGGAGTGTTTTTGAAGCAGCTGCCACTGATCTGGATGAGCTTACAGAGACTGTAACATCATACATCAGTTTCTGTGAGGATATGTGCAATCCTACCAGGACTTATTTAACATACAATGACAAAGAATGGTTCACAGCAAAACTCAGACAGCTTTGGCAGGCCAACGAGGATGCCTACAGGAGTGGGGACAGAATCGTGTACAATCAGGCCGGGAACACACTGACAAAAGAAAATCAGAGTGGCTAGAGAAGCTACTCTAAAAAGCTGGAAAACCAGTTTTCAGCAAACGACTCTGCTTCAGTGTGGAAAGGCCAGAAAGACATCATAAACTACAAGACACCATCCCCCAGCACTGAGGCGAATCAACAACTTGCTGAAGACCTGAATGAGTTTTACTGCAGATTTGAAACTCCCGGTCTCACACCCCACACCCGCTCTGACCATCTCTCTACACAACCATTAACACCTCTAGCAACCCCCCTCTCCCCTTTCCTGCACTTCAGATCAGTGAAGATGATGTGCATCAGATCTTAAGGAAACAGAAGAGAAGAAAAGCACCAGGCCCAGACGGTGTTTCACCAGCCTGTCTGAAAACCTGTGCTTTCCAGCTGGCTTCCATATTTTCGCAGATCTTCAACAGATCACTGGAGCTGTGCAAAGTCCCTGCCTGCTTCAAATTCTCCACCATGATCCCCATCCCAAAGAAACCCAAAATCACAGGACTTAATGATTACAGACTTGTTGCCCTAACATCTGTGGTCATGAAGTTGTTTGAGAGACTGGTGTTGGCTTATCTGAAGGACATCACTGGACCCCCTGAAGTTTGCTTATCGAGCAAACAGGTCTGTGGATGATGCAGTCAACATGGGACTGCATTATATCCTACAACATCTAGACAAATCAGGGACTTATGTGAGGATCCTGTTTGTAGACTTCAGTTCGGATTTCAATACAATTACCCAGCACTCCTCCAGACTGAACTAACCCAGCTCTCTGTTCCTAGCTCTATCTGTCAATGGATCACCAGCTTTCTGACAGATAGGCAACAGCTAGTGAGAATTGGTAAATTCACATCCAACAGCCGCACCACCAGCACTGGCGCCCCTCAGGGTTG